GCTTACAACTAATATAGGCTCACTAGTATTGCATGTAAGATAAAGTATGTATTACCTCAACTTTTCCTGAAAATATTATCTCTGTTTTGTCTTCCAGGTTGTGAAACTTTCTGAAATAGTGACCCTAGCAAAACAAGCCCAAGTAGATGTTAAATTTCAGTTGCCAATTTAGTCTGATATATAGTTACTATCCCTCATCCTTCATCATGTTTTTTTTTCTTAAATGCTTTTCTTCTCCCCTCCCCAACTTTTATGTATGTCTGCATTTGATGTGTAGTAGTTTTAATGACCACATACAGGTTTCACTTTTCTATTAATAGAATGTTTATTGTAAAAGAATGGCTTGATGCCAATTACTTAGTTACAGATCTTAGTTCCTTAAATTTCCAAATGCAGACTGAGCAGTTCTTAATACATCTGTTGTAAACAAAAACATACAGATTTGTTTTTTTCCAAATATAAGTTTGATGTGAATAGGATTTTCCCTTTGCCTTTCTGATAATTAACCAAGTGATAAGACTGTTGAGAGTAGATATGAGCAGTTGCAATTGAAGCATTCAACAGCTGCTGAGGAATAATTCAGGAAGCACAAGAATATTAGAATATTTTGATTGGCATATACAGATAATGCATTACCTATTGAAGATATTTATATTCTGCAGTACACTGAATAAATGGAGCATCTCACTTACTATTTATGGACAGCGTATCTCTCCAGTTATTGTTTTCTGAAGCAACCACTACAGGAAATACTGTAACATGTAATTCTTAATTTCTGGTACTTATTTAAAAGTATCATGGAGTTTTCTGTTTGTAAACAAATAAAATTTATTTATATCTTAGTGCTGAGTGGATATGATATAAAGTAATAAAGTTTTAAAAGCTCAACGTTGTTCTTAATCTGATTTTTTCAGCATCCTTTCATTGCAATGAAATTTGCAAGCAGATAATTTATCTAACTATAATGGGATTAGAGCCTGACTTCTCTGGACCTCCTTTCAGTTGACTTTGAATGCAACAGACACAGTTTTACTTTGGACTTCACCCCGAATGATAAAGTCCTTTGTTTGCAAAAGCAGCACAGACAATTGATGTAATTGATGACACTACATCACTTCGATCAATATGTGTTATCTTTTATGAAAAAGATATAAACATGTAATAATATCAATCATCACCTTTTCCAGAATAGCCGTGTTTTCTACAGCTCTCATTATATTATCTTTGACATATTACAAATATGTCTTTATGAGAAAGGAATGGAGGAGAAGGAAACATTTCTACAAATTTGTTCAAAATAAGACTATTATAAACCCTTATACGTTTTTTGTAAGAAAACAGTGGAATATGATAAATCATCTTTTGGGATGCCTATACCTTTTAATATATGGGCATAGAAAAATATGTGTATATTTGCATTACTTCTCACCATTGTACACGGTAGTTTGCATTAATCTGCACTTTCGGAAGCTGGAGGTGTCCAGAAGAGAAGAGGAGGGGCGAGAGAGGAGAGGATATAAAAGGTAGTTTGGTGGCAAAGATGCCAGCGGGGGGCTGCCCCCGCCCCGCCCCCCTGGACACACAAAGAGGCAGCGAGCACCCAGCACCCCTGCTGAGCATCTCTGCTGACCACTGAGGAAGAAAAAAGGTAAGTGAAGCGCTTCCCTTTCCCCCAGAACACCAGCGCTCATGTGCTCCCTGTCTTCTCCGTGCACCCCCTATCCCCAAACCACAAAACCAGTCCATGATATATGTGTTTAAAAAGTGCAAAGGGTGTAAAAATGATGTTTGTGTGAGCATTTGGGCATTAAAAATAAGCACTTTGAACTATTGGAGATATAGGAAAATTATTTTTGCTTTATCCAAGTGATATCTAAATTTGTATACTAAGTTAGACACTAACTAAAATACTATTTAATGCCCTTAGGCATTTGTACAATGAAAATATGACGACTCCCTTGACTCCACTAGTCCAACTGAGCACCAATACTCTCCACTTTGCTTCTTCCCTATTTTCTTTTTTATTTACAGCATACATTTATTTCCCCTGATTCCAGTAAGTGAAATAAGAAGTATTCATGTCTCCATAGCAATAAACTTAAGTCAAAGCCTCCAGACTCTCCCACAGAAGCATCTGAGAACACAGTTACATAATCACCAAGAAATTAAATCAAGAAACAACAGAGAAAGAGCTTTCCCAGACTATAGATCTGCTCTTTTGGGGGGAATACAACCTCATCCAGAATGGATAAACTCAGGCTTCAAACCTGTGCCTGATTTCTTACTGACCAGAAGCCTCTCCATCTTGTCTGGAAGTATGGAACTTTAGTAGTAGTCAAGGAAATTGTCATTTTGCCTTCTACAAATTGATGGGTTGAGACTGGTGATGAGAATGGATAAGGATCCACTCTTCTCAGTTGGCAACTAGTACCAACAACATGCTTTTTAAATATACCCACCAGCGTCTCAAATTTGGTGGCCCTGTTTTCTGTCTTTTATGTTCATTGAATATAAAATATAATTTTTATTTTTTTATTAAATATAGCATAGATGCTATTTTAATTTTACTGATATTTAGAGTAGGTCTAGACAATCTGATTAATGTCCTCCAGAATCAAAATCAGAATCAGAACAGAGCTGGACAGGACCTTGGAGGTCTTCTAGTCCAGCTCCCTGCTCAAGCAGGAGATCCTATACCATTTCAGGCAAGTGATTGTCCAATCTCTTCTTAAAAACCTCCAGTGATAAACATCCACAATGTCTGTAGGCAAGCTGTTCCACTGGTTAATTGTCCTCATTTTGGGAAGTTTCTCCTTAATTCCAGATTGCTTCTCTCTTTAATTAGTTTCCAACCATTGTTTCTTGTTTTGCCTTCTGGTGCTTTGGTAAATAAGTTGACCCAGTCTTCTTTGTGACAGCTTCTCAAATACTGGAATACTGCTATCATGCCCCCCTAGTCCTTCTTTTCTCTAGACTAGCCAAGCCCAAATCCTGCAGCCGTTCTTCATATGTTTTAGTCTCCAGGCTTTTAATCATCTTAGTTGCTCTTCTTTGTACTTTTTCCAAAGTCTCAACATCTTTTTTTATAATGTGGTGAGGAAACTGGATGCAGATGTGTTCTAGATGAGGCCTTATTAAGGCTTTTAAAAGTTGTATTAATACTTCACATGATTTTGAGTCTATGCCTCTCTTTATACAACCAAGGATTGTATTACCTTTTTAAGTTGCTATCACATACTGCTGACTCATGTTTAAGTGATTGTCCACTGGGACTCCAAGGTAGCTCTCACAGTTAACTGTTTTTGAGCCAGATTTCATCTAATCTGTACTTGTACCTTTGGTTTTTCCTGCTCAGGTATAAAATCTGCTTTTCTCCACATTTTCTCCACTTTTCTCCAGTATGCAGTACTGTATAAATTTGCTTTACTGTCATAGCTGATCTCAACTCTGGTGCCTGGTGAGTGATGTTGAAGGGCAACTTAAAATACAGCAATTGGTATATTACACTGTCAGCAGGAAAACTATTGTCCTTGATAGGAGAAGAGGCAAGTTCAGATATCTAGAGTGATGGATTTAGCAATTCAACAGAACTTGATGGGGAGAGGGCAATAAAATAATAGAGTGTCCTCTCTGTTTTACTCTGAAGCCTTTACCTCACTGGATTACTTCTAACACCTGAACAACAGGTGATATGGGATAATGGAGCTTGCACTCAAGGATCAGAAGCTCTCCTTTCCTGCTTGACATACAGTTTTCCCATTGCACATAGTTGATCACTTTCAGCATCTGATTCACCAAGAATGGGCAGGCAGTGATGTGCTCACTCGAATCTATGTATTAAATAATGCACCTTAACTGCATAATGAGTGGGAGTTTGTCCAATCATATCCTATGGGTAGCTGAGCACTCTTATCAGCCTCTCCTCACATACACATATAAGTAGGCCTAGCACTCTACTACCAACAACAGTAAGCATCCTGGTTATCATTCTTACTCACCCACATAGCTAGAGGCTAAGAGGCAGAGTTCTCAGTCCTGCGGGCAGCTGATGTCAGTTAGGTCTTGTTTCCCTACACGTGGTGATCCAGGTAGAAAAAATGTACAATGTCAAGCCCATCTTTTGGGACTCTGAAGTCTGCATGCACCAGCCTCACAATGACACCTTTTGAAAGCAGCTGAGAGATGCTGGGGAGATGCCCCAACTTCACCACCACATCATTAACCTCAGACCCATCCCAGATCCCACTATGTTCTGCCAATAACAAGGTTTCTGCTGGGTTGGAGAAAATGGGAAAGAGCACTTCAGAGAAAATAAAAGTTAGCTGCCCTCAGATACAGGCAGGTTAGGAGAGGAAGGCCGCATGATGCACAGGTGTCTTTAAGAAGGGTTATGTAGACAACCTCGAGCTGAAGTTTTATGGTTGTAGACAGGTGCTCCAAGTAGTTGCTTTCCATATGCTTTTTTTCAAGCAGGCCGAGTTAGTTGTTTGTAATCCCAAAAGCATGCAAAGCTAATTCCTCTTCTTGAGCAAATTATTTTCTATACTATCAAAATTACACCCCCCCCCCAATTAACACTACTGACAGTATAATATTTACCTTTCAGTTTAGAGCTAGGATGTGATTAGTTTTTAAAAAGGAATAATCTAACGTTTGCCCATAATATGCAATTCTTAGCTTCTTCTTTTTCATAGAAGAACCTACTTTATTACAGGCTGCTGTTATCAAGAGCTGCTCTGCAGGATATCCTGTGGGAAATGTTAACTTTTTTAAACTATGTATGCCTAACATTGATACATATAAAACTGCAACATGTAAAAAAAAATTCAGCTCTCTTCAGTTTATCCTTCTCTGCCTTTGCCATTTATGTAAATAATGTGACGTCTTATGAAGAAACAGGACAAAAGAGAATCACCTCCATTTTTGCCAGAAATTATTTTGAACCCCATCTGGAAATTTCTTTCCTCCATGCATTGTAAAATTTTGGGATGATTATCCAGAGATTATTCTTCCAACACGGTTAACCTTAAGGAGAAAAACAACACAGGGAAGTATAAGTGGAGCAGCTGTAAATGGCAAAGAAGAACAAACAAGGAAATACCATCGCTGTAAGGGGGCAGCTGAGGAATCTGCAAAATACATTTGATTCATGCAAACTGGAACTAAAGAATATCATGCCAGCAAATGCAACAAAGGATAACATAAATCAAGGCACAGCATTAATTTAATTTAGGCAATTTTTCGAATACATTGTAAGTGTATTTCTTAATAGCGTTTTTCAGAATGATAGCATTAAATAAACTTATGGTATTTAATAACTTCCATGATAGGACAAAATAATAATTGTAACTAATTATTAAAATAATTTTTAATTGTCAGTTACATGATTAAAATGTTTTGGGGGAAGATTGCTATGGCTGAAAACATTGGAGGACGATGGACTGCTTTTTCTTTTCCTTAATGGTTTGAAATTGCTTGAAATCGTTCAGTAAAATTCACTATCAAATTATATATGAAATTGAAAATCATACAGTCATCTGAATGACTGTCAGTTTTCTTTGTAAAATTTTATTTTCTTTTTTGTACTAATAATCAGTATAGAACTTGATGGTAACAAAACAGCCGCAATTTGCATTTTTCATCAATTTCAGAATTTTTAGAAATGCATATTTTTTCTGAAGAATGGTCTGTGAACCTAATAGCACATTCTTTACTACAATTAAACCAAGCCAGAAAATTCAATAGAAGTATACTTACATCTGAAGAAATTAACAATTCTTGTTTATGCAATGTGACTGCAGACTTTGATCATATAATGAACAGTTCTTGTGAAAGGAACCTGACTACATTATTATTTCCTATTCTTCATGAGAAAAACTGGCCTGCTCTTCTAATTATTATTGTGATTGTTATAACCATTTTTGGAAATATTCTAGTCATCTTGGCTGTCTCACTAGAAAAGAAGCTGCACAATGCCACAAATTATTTCCTGATGTCACTTGCAATAACTGATATGCTCTTGGGTTTTCTTGTCATGCCGATATCAATGCTAACTATATTATATGGTGAGTACCATTAACAACCTTTAAAACTCAATATACTTTAATTGATTAATATACATATTACAAGTTACTTTAATGTAACTATAGACTCAATGAAGAGGTAACTCTCACGCTTTCTAAAAAATGAGAATTGTGAACTAGGTGTGGATGTCTGAAACCTTCATTCTGCATGATGTTTTCATTGTTTCTCAAATAATAGAGCAACACTGATTACAAAAGTCCCCCTATAATCCTCATTCTTTGCCAAAGAATTCCTCAGTAACTAAAGGATAAGAAAGTAACCTTGATATTAAATATGAGGAGCATTAAAATCATTTCACAAGCATTATAAATTGAGTTACTTGAGGCAGAATGTAGTAGCGAGGGTGCTGGCTGGAATATCCTTCAGAGATCTGATCACATTGTTCTTCCAGGAAATCCATTGGCTGGCTGGCTGGCTGGCTGGCTGGCTGTAATCAGCTGCATTTCATTGTTTTTGTAAGGACATCATTAGGCTGCATGTGGCTTAGGATCTAATATTTCTATTTGTTTGATTGATTGAATGTACACTAACAGCACATCTCACTGAATGACTCTGGGTAGCTTACATATTTAATATTTGAGGGAATGCTTTGTGCAGGATCAGGTGTCTGAGGCTTAAATTCCAAAGAAGGGCAATCCTCAATACCTATGGCTGGGAGAGATACCCTATGTGAGGTCCCTCAGGGTTCTTGAGTAGGAAGGGTGGCACATAAATAAAGTAGAAAGTATTAATAATGTGATTATATAAAACAGCCCTTGCATTTATAGATTACTTTCTAATATTTCACCCTGTCCAAATGAATTTTTATTCTCTGAAACAGCATAGTGCAGAGATCATTATGCTCCTAAAGTTAAAATTGTCTAGTCAAAATTACAGCTCTCTATAATGTGCTGCAGGGATAAGTGAGAGGGAAGTTTTTAAGAGTGCTTTGGACATATATTATTGCCTTAATTTTAAGAGAAATATAATGTCTGGTTTTGTGATGCTGGGCTTCCCACCCTCAGAAAATAGCTACAGGGATAAATACTGAGAAAAGTTTATGCCATTTTTTCTGCACCTTTTCTATTCAATAACTATTGAAAGCTTTGTAAAGATTTTTTTTTCAGCATGTGCAGTTGTGTTTGTCCAAACAGATATAAAGTCTCTGTCTCTGTCTATATGTTACACTGACAAGGCACAAAGAGATACACATCTGTTAACACTCACCAAAAGTCCTAGAATACAGCGGTGGGAATAACACAAACCAATAAATTATAACTTTTTCCTGAGAAGGAGTTTTTGAAACTGGATATCCGGAATAAGGAAAGAGCTTTGGAACCTCTAGTCACGCTTTTGCCCAGCAAACCAAATGATGGTATCTCTAATAATGGATAGCCAAAATATTTATTTTGATACCCTTGTACAGGAGTTGGCAACCTTAAACACTCAAAGAGCCAGTTGGACCGTTTCCCACAGAAAACATTGGGAGCCGCAAAACCATTTTGACATCTAAAATGAAGATAACACTGCATTTATCCTTTTTTTACCTTTATGATATATATATCATATATCATATATATATATCTGTCTCTCTCTCTTTCTGTCTCTCTCTCTCTCTCTCTCTCTCTCCCTCCCTCAGTTCCTTTCTCCCTCCCTCTCCCTCTCTCTCTTTCTGCCTTTGGTCTGCCAGTCCTCTTCCCCCCACTGTGTGTGTGTGTGTGTGTGTGTGTGTGAGTGAGAGAGAGAGAGAGAGAGAGAGAGAGAGAGAAGCAGTGCTTCTCTTCTCTCTCTCTCTCCCTCCCTCTCTCTTCCTCTCCTCTCTATTTCTGCCTTGGTCTGCCAGTCCTTTTCCCCCACTCAGTGTGTTTTTGTGTGTGTGTGTGAGAGAGAGAGAGGGGGGGCACTTGCGTTTCCCTTCTCTCTCTCTCTCTCTCTCTCTCTCTCTCTCTCTCTCTCTCTCTCTCTCTCTCTCCCCTCCCAATCTTCTGCTCAGCTCACATTCTTCTCCAACAAGCTGACTGGGCTGGTTTTAAATCGCCTTTACTCTCCTGCCCTTGCTGTGTCTCCCTCTTCCTTCCCGGCAGCTGGGATTCCGACGTGCCTTCCCAGCCAGCGGGGCCAACAGTAGCGCCTGCTGGGGATCGCAGGGGCTGTGCTCCCTTGGGTCTGCGGCTTGAGGGAGGGCTAGCCCGCTCAGCGGAGGCTCCGTCCGGCCGCTCCCAGGGGTGATCCTGGGGCTTCCCCGTGTGGCTCCCCGGCCCTGTGCGCCTCGGACGAGGCCAGCCCGGGAAAGGGACTTCCTGGCCATGCTTCTCCCAGGCGGTGGGGCGCCTGGGTGCAGGACCAATTAGGAGTCCTGGGAGAGGGTAAGTCCACATGAAGAGAGAGAGAGAGAGAGAGAGAGAAGGGAAGCGCAAATGCCTCTCTCTGTCTCTATAAAGGAAGGAAGAGGACTGAGAGCTGCAGGAGAAGGCTGAAAGAGCCGCATGCGGCTCCAGAGCTGCGGGTTGCCGACCCGTGCCCTTGTACATCACTTTAAAATTAAAAGTGAGTTTTGGTGCTTGTGTTTACTAAACACTGCATTTGCAAATCATATATAGCCATGGCGGCGAACCTATGGCACGATTGCCAAGATGGCACGCAGAGCTGTCCCTGTGGGCACGTATGCCATTGCCACATAGGAACGTAGGGCCGGGCTCCTCCCCTCTCCCTCTCCATGCATGCAGAGTCTGGGAGCAGCTGTGAGAGCTGGGTGGGGTGAGGGAACCTATAAAAAGAGCAGTTTTGGCAGGAGAGTGAGTGAGCAGCCTTTGGAAGCGACCAGTGGTGGGTTTCAAATCATTTAACAACCAGTTCTCTGCCTCGCCTTCCCTCCAGTTTGGTTGGGCTGGGCTGCTTGGGGGGTCAGCTAGGGTGGGGGCAGGGTAGGGGGTCATCAGCTCCTGGCTGGCGGAAGGCGAGGGGGTCTGGCTAAGGGCAGCAGAAGGGCTGGGACACCTCCACGGAGGAAAGCCATCACTCCACGGTCACCTAGGATTACCTAGAAGGGGCAGGGGGCCGGGGGGGCAGCAGGCAGGGGGGAATCATAGCCATTTCCCTTCCACAGTGCAGCCCCATCGGAGTGGGCGGAGGTGGCCCTGGGATGGCCAGAAAGGAGGCCTCACTTGGTGCGGGCCCTGTCTACACAGTGGCTCTGATGGGGGCGGCGGCGCATGGGGGCCGACAGTGTCCATCAGCAGCTGCAGCATGCTGGCTGTCCTGCATAATGGCGAACTGGCCATGGAGCCCCATCGGAGCAGGCAGAGACGGCCCCAGGACGGCCAGAAGGAAGCCCTTGCCCAGCCTGGGCCCATCCACTTGACAACTCTGACGTGGGTGGCTTCTGCTGCTACTCCAACTGGTCAACCATGCAGGGAAGCAGGAGGGGTAGCTGATGCATGAGATCGGCTGCCTCGTTGGACTGCCAGCGAGCAGCCGAAGCAGCTCCAGACTCCTGGCTGTTCCTCCACTTCCTCCTGCTTCCCTGCATGGTTGACCAGTTGGAGCAGCAGTAGAAGCCACCCCTATCTCTGTGGCCAGTTCGCCATTGTGCAGGACAGCTAGCATGCTGTGGCTGCTAATGGACACCATCAGCCCCCATGCGCTTGCTGGCCTCTGTGTGCGGGGGCCGATGGTGTCAGGGCAGCAGATCCAGTTTCATTAATTTTTCTTGAATGCTAACATTTATACAGGTAGTCTTTGACTTATGACCACAATTGAGCTGTTGCTAAGCAAGACATTTGTTAAGTGAGTTTTGCTCCATTTCTATTCCATTGCTCCTTTCTTACCACAGTTATTAAGTGAATCACTGCAGATGTTAAATTAGTAACACAGTTGTTAAGTGAATCTGGCTCCCACATTGACTTGGCTTGTCAGAAGGTTGCAAAAGGTGATGATCACGTGATCCCAGGGCACTGCAACCGTCATAAGTATGAGTCAGTTGCCAAGCATCTGAATTTGGATCACACGACTATGGGGATGCTGAAGTGGTTGTAAATATGAAAAATGGTCATAAGTCACTTTTTTCAATGCTGTTGTAACTTCGGTCGCTAAATAAACATAAGTCAAGGACTATCTGTACATTCTTTTCAGTTCCTGTCTTCTCAGTCACTATCATTCCTATTCAAAATATTAATTTCAGAATTCCACCATTTCAAATAATTTTATTATTCCTATTTTTAATTTTGTTCAATCTACTGGATGTTCTCTGCCATGTGTATTTACGATAAAATTTATTCTTAAACCATTTAGTCAGAACAAACACCCTTTATTCCAAGCAAGTACTCACCATGCTCCTTCACTTTGCAATATCTGAATGATCCAATCAGTTTGCTTGCAATCCCTCGTCTATCCATTCCTATGACTAGCAGAATAGTTTCCCCCCCTGAATTACATTCATTATGTTGCACAATTTTCCTCCAAACTCATCCTTGATTTATCTATTACAGTACCATTACTCACATCTGTCATCAAGCTTCTGGTTTCGCATACATATCCATATATGTATAACAACAGTTTATACTTTCTGATATACATTTTAGCCCTTTCGTGCACTAAACTGACTCAAAATGCAATTTTTTCAGTAAAGGTTAGCATTCTTTAGTGTTTCCCCACTAGGCTTCTAAAATCTTACTGTTATGGTTCCGGCTAATGAAACACTTCAAAGAACTTCCAGGCATTGATTTTCCTAAAAGTCATTTATTTTTTTACAAAATGTCCGCACGGCATAACGAAGGTATGCTAAGATCTAAAATCCCCACTCACCGAGCAGTTATTTTGCTAGCATTTCCACTCCCTATTTTGCTGTTATAATTTACGTTCACCAGTCAGTGTAAAGGGCAAAGGTTCCCTTCCTTTCTATTTTTGCGGGCTTTTCTCTCCTCTCTCCTCTGCTCTGCATTAACTCTAAAAATATCAGACAGTTTTGCATATTTTGTCAAAGCAAGAATATACAGTATTTGCAGTGTTGAAACTTACAACTGTACAGAAAGATGGAAGGGGAGAGTACAAAGGCAATTGTATCATTAAAATTTGGCAAGTTTGCTGCCACATCAGCCACAGTGAGATCTAGAGAAGTCTGCTGGCTTCAGAATTGAATATGGGAGCCTGTAGGTATCAGCAGGATATAGACCTACCACTTTTAAAAATCTGTAGATGGATAAGGTAAAATATAACAACAGAAAATATGTTTCATATCAGTGAAATATAGCTTTCCAACTGCTATACAGTTCATAAACACTCTCCTTGGTTACAGAATATAGATGGCCACTGCCCAGGAACCTCTGTGCTGTGTGGATTTATTTAGATGTACTTTTCTCCACTGCCTCCATCATGCATCTCTGTGCCATATCTCTGGATCGCTACATTGCCATTCAAGACCCCATTCATCATAGCCAGTTTAACTCCAGAACAAAGGCCTTGGCAAAAATAGCTCTTGTTTGGACGGTATCAATAGGTGAGCTGTTCAATCTTTATGTGTTATGTTATCATCAGAGATTTTTTTTACTTTCAGTAAAATTATATGTGCATCCCTCTCCCAATTTCTCTCTAAGGCTATGCATTTTCGCCTGTGGCCTTTTGATGTCTTTCATTGATGCCATATTTTCTATTGCATTTCTGCCTTTTTATTACTATTATTACTATTTGGGCAATCAAAAATGTTTCCACCTCTATGCCACCGCAGGATAATTCAATTTGAACTAAATTGTCAATATTTTACATTGATTTTTTTCCCCAGAGGATTTAGTTTTAAAGCTCATGTGCTACTAGTGCAGTTCTATTTTAATTCAGATGGAGTCTTCCCTTCAAAATACACTTGCCCATTAAGTGAAATGCAAATCTAAATAGATACAAAACAATGTATTCAAGAAAGTGCTCTGTAAATTCACCACAGCACAGTAGTCTTATTATCCTAAGAACTCTTCACATGAAACAACACTGTTCAACAGTAGTAAGTCAACTTTGCTGCATGGACAATGGCTGGAACATGAAAAACCCATTCTGTAATCATTAAAAATTTGGGAGTCTTCTTATTGCTTCCTGCTGTAACTATATGGTTAATCATAACCATCAATGAAGGACTGAGGCATAACATTTCTTTATTGGAACAATGTCTTTTGTAGCTAACATGTCTCTTCAGAAAGAAGCAAGGAGACACCACCCCCCAAAACAGAAGCAATACAAGAAGAAAAAGAGGATTAATTGCAGTGGTGTAACATGGAGAGAAAATTGCAGTAACTGTTGTCAATTTATTCATTAAGTGATGTTTTCTTGAAGATAAAGTTCTGCGTGCTTGATTGGCATGTGAATTAGTGCAGAGCACTAGAACATTGTCTTTTTCTCCAGCTGTGTCCTGCATAGATAGTACTGTTTCCTTTTGCCATATATATAGAATGCATGGAGATAAAATATGCTTCAAAAATCAAAATAGCCCCAAAGAGTAGGCGTTGATCATTCGCAGCAGACATAATTAACAATGGATGAAATATGTATGGTTTGAACATACAGTATTGAAGGCCGCTTTGTTCTGTTTTTGCTGGAGGGAGTGTTAAAAGAAAGTCTTAAAAGTTTTAAACCCTAAAAAGAAAGTAAGGAACAAAATAAACTATTGAGTTTTAAAAAATTGCAATTTGGCACTGCCCACTCACCACATCCCAAAGTGATCATAATCTTTATGTTGTTGAAATAGAACAATCTCAGTAGAGTTTGCTGAAGGGGAGATATTACCTTCCTCCTCCCAGTGATCTCAACTGCATTAAATCACTGGGGAAGGAGGGGATGCTTTGCCTCGAAGTGTATATATGCTGGCAAAAATATACAGTATGTGTTTTTCCCAAGGTACACCAGCATTATTTCTGTGCTCTGTGTGAAATTGCATTAGGATAATATAGTACAGGTAGTCCTTGCTTAATGAAGATAATTGGGACAAGCAGTTTCTTTGCTGAGCAGCATATTTGGAAAGCATGTCATATGACTGCATCAACTTGCAGCTATTCCCAGAATTATGAGAGTTGTTAAGGCAAATCCTGCGCAGTTAGTGTCCCAGAATTATGGGATCGCTGTTTGTGACTTCCTGCCAGCTTCCTCATTAATTTTGCTTGTGGGAAAGCAGCAGGGAACTTTACAAATGGTGACCATGGGATGTGATGACCATCATAATTGTGAGTTGGTTGCCAAGCACCCAACTCATGGTCATAGGAGTATGGGGATGCTGCAGTGGCCACAACTACAAGGAACGGTTATAGTTTCCCCCATTCAGCAGCATCATAACTTTAAATGGTTGCTGAATGACTAGTCACTAAATGAGTCCTGCCTGTATTACTAAATCTGCCAAACAGGAAAATCTTATGATTTTTTTTCCAATAAAAGCTAATAAGCTAATAAACTTTCACATTTCTGAATTGAAATTCTAACATATAAAATTGGTGTTTCTGGGGACTTCTGAATTCAGCAATTTGTTCAAGTGGCTTTCCAAACTGTCCTTGTAGAGTTTACACAGTGCTTATAGCTACTACCAAAGCCAAAACCTTTAACTTCTATTTGTAAAACGGTACTTTGTTTTTAGCTTCTAGTGAATAGCTATGCAAACTTCAAGGAAGCAACAGTCACATTCTGCAATGATGATCTGATCTTTGTTTCCAGGAATGTTATTGGGAACAAGTGGGCACCCAATGTGGTACATGACATATTTTTAAAAGTGAAAATGACTGTACTTATCTTTCTTCTTTTTTTAACTAAACATATAGGTATTTCAATGCCAATTCCTATATTTGGATTCCATGATGATTCTAAAGTTTTCAAGAATGGAAGCTGTTTCCTTGTGGATCAGAATTTTGTTTTAATTGGTTCTTTTGTAGCATTTTTTATTCCATTTGCTATCATGATGATCTCCTATTTTTTAACTATAAAATCCCTTCAGAAAAAAGCCACATTATGCATGAATGATCTTGATTCAAAAGCTAAGTTTGGCTCATTCAGTTTTTCCCCTCAAAGTTCTCTTTCTTTGGATAAACATTTCAAGCGCTCTCTGAACAAAGAGTCTGGAACTTTTAGGAGAAAGATACAATCAATAAGTAATGAACAGAAAGCATCCAAGGTACTTGGAATTGTCTTTTTCTTGTTTGTGATAATGTGGTGTCCTTTTTTTATCATGAATGTGATGGTAGTTTTTTGCAAGGAGGCATGTGACAAAGATGCAATTGAGCATCTGCTTAACATTTTTGTTTGGATTGGCTACCTTTCTTCAGCAGTCAACCCACTTATATATACATTATTCAGTAAAACCTACCGATCTGCTTTTATACGTTACATCCAATGTCGCTACAAAGAGAAAAAGAAACCTCTGCAGTTCTTAGCGGACACTGTCCCTACTGTAGTGTACAACTCACCTCAGTTGACACAAATGAAATGCTTTAGAAAGGAATCCAAGTTAATGGCTAAAGACTATTCCACAGGGACATCTGAAGTACATGATTTGGATGAAACCTTAAAGAGCAAAGTCAGCAACATGAATGAAAATGTTAGCTGCTTGTGACTGGTACAACACCATTTTCTTTAAGTGGATATATTCTGCAAGCTGGAGAAAGCTGATCTGGAAAAATAGTATGCAACTTTGCTGGGAATTTGCAAGACAGTGCTTCACTATCGAAGACTCGTCTCTCATTTTTCTCAATGCTGGAAACAGGAATGCACTGGCATGTGAAAGCAGCTAGCTCCTATTTATGACTCATTAAAGTCAATCATGTCAATTGTTTCTAGGACCATGTAGCCCTCACTTAATGACAGTAACTGGAGTTGGAATTTCTGTTGCTATTCAACATGATCATAAAGTGCACTGTCATGTAACACTGGACTTGGAAAATGAGAGCAGTGCAATATAAATTTTTGATTTAATTATATCAAACAAATACATTAACAGAAAATATAGGAATTATAACAGTAGAAGTAGTATGAAATATGTTATAAAGAGAATACAAATAAACTGAGTAATTGCTAAAAGATGTTTTCCTTGCCTTTTTGTTGAAAAGAAAAAATAATTCGAATACTGATAAAAATAACATTCAGGTCTACTGCTGCAAATTAAGTAGCAATTTCTTCTTTTGCAGATTGTTATTATGACTCTGAACTACTATGACTCACTACATAGGTACTCAAGTTACAACCAAAATTGGCACCAGAATTTCTGTTGCTAAGCAAGGCAGTTGTTAAGTGAGTTGTACCTGATTTAATGACATGTACAAACCCAGGCAATTGCAGTAATTTTTAATTCACTTTGTTGTGCAGCCACAGAAAATAGAGCTAATGGTTTCTTTAACTACATTTAATTTTATCAGATAAACTCTTTGCACTTCAGAAAATTGAGTCTGTATTCTCAATTATACCAATAATGAAAATGAGATTGAATGATTACTGTATGTAGTGTGATTACAGCCATATGGTCAGAGGACATCCCATACACATCTATGATTCTACATTCCACAAATATCTCCATGAGAATTTAACACCTTTTCTGCAGGGCTGTCTATTAGTAGATTTTCTAAATGTAAACTGCACATAGCATAATGATATTGGTTTTTCACTTTGCATTATTTTATATAGATCTGAGAATCCCAGAAGGGAAAGACATTACCTAAAATGCATATGAATATAAAGAGCTTTTTTTCCCTTGTACATGTTGCTTTATTATTTCTAACTTCGAAAGGCAAAGTTTCAATAGTTGTGAAAAAAAGCTGCCTTTTAAATACAATACTTTTATTATGGTTTGAAAGATTAAAGAGACTGACTTTTGGGGTAATACGAAATTCATCTTGCATACCAATTCTCTATTACAAATACTTCCAAAGATACTGTCAGAAGTAAGTCTTCATCCTGGTTCATCCAAGCTGGGGATAAATAAGCAACATGGTGACTGCTTTGGGAAGAAGGTTATAGTTTATTGAAGAAGCAGAAAGACGGTCCTTGCAAGAAAGAGCAGAGGAGAGGAAAAAGAGTTGAGCACATGGGCAGTAGGTTTTTATACCCCCTCTAAGCCTTGTTTGGAATAGTTTCCTGTTCCTGTGGCATGAACCTTGAGGCTATTTCTGAGTGTTTTTCTAGGCCTTGATATCTGTGGTTTAATCCTATTATCATATCCTGCTTCCCAGGTGATGGGGCTAATGACTCCTAGAGTTTGGGTGGGGCATGCAGATTTTCTCTTTGTCTTCTTGAGTGCTCTGGCTTCAACTTTCTGATGGTTTTACAGCTGCATTTGTATGGGGCTAGCTCTTGCTTGGGGGCAGAGAGATAGATTTGGGGCAGTTTGGTTTTAAAAAGTCCTTTTGAGGAAAAATATATTTTTCTGCCCTTTTAATATTTCCTTCTCTGGGCTAACTTTCCTCAATACCAAACTGATGTTTTAATATGCACAGAGAATTTTTTTCTACAGATATCAAACTCAAATTTATTGGCAACTGTAGCAAAACAGGAGGCATGATTAACCCAATTGCCTCTGTATACAATATCGTAATATTAATCCTTCAGACAGGCACCGCTACCCCTATTTATCTTGGCAATTTGGCACCTTTAGGTTTTTTTTCAGCCAGGTGCCAAACAAAACTATCCTGGGTGTCCGACTGTATCAGACCTGCATCAGCCAGATCCCTAGGCAAGAAAGACTCCTGAGTTCACTTGGATGAAGCAATAGGTTCTTTTACTAAGGATTAGTGGTTGGAGTGAAAGCAGGCTAGAACTAAAGTTCTCACGGGAAGAGTTACAGTATTCCCCTTTCTCCCTGGCCCTCCGCCCTTGGCTGTTTGTCTTTGTCCAATGATGTGCTGCATAGGTGTTTGGGGCTGCTTGGTGCAGTTTACATTCCCTGGCTTCCGTGGCCTTGAAGACTGGAACTGGCTGGTTCTCACACCTCTGGCTTCTATCAAACCTGTCACACCCCTCCCGTTTAGCTCATCTCTACCCTTTACATGCCAATTACTTATTCCCTTTTCCCCCAGCTCCTAACAATTTATGGCAGGACGTCAGCAAAGCTCTAAGCTGAAAGATGGTAGATCTGACAAACTGATTCTCTTTTTCTCCTCAGTTAAACTGCCCCACCTGCTATTTATTTATTAACCACCATGCAGCAATCCAGAGACTCTTGGCAGCTTTAGTACAACCACCTGTAATAACTTCCAATGCATAAATATATCACAGTATTAAAATTATATAGAACTAGATATAATTTGGGAGTAATAAGTTTTAAATTTTGTTTAGATAGGCTTTAATTTTCCCCATCTTCAGGAGTTTGGGTTTTTTTGTTGCCCCACCGCACCCCTTCTAGGTAGAATATTACAGGCTTTTTTTTTTCTTACTATGTTTTTTTAACAGTGTCAGGTTTTTTTATCCTTAGCAATGAAATTGGTTCCTTCACTCTCTTCAATAATTCCTATTAATTCGTTTTCCACAATCCTCAAAACTACCATGTTTAACCATCTCTTGCACTTATACGTACATTGCCCACATTCATTACCTCTTGAGAAACACAACTACAGGTAGTCCTCGAGTTATGATTGTAATGGAGTCTGCCCATTACAGTCATAACATTAATTGAAGCCTGTTAAATGAACATTAATCGAATGCACAGGTTAAGTGTGCATTAGGTACCTCAGGGGTGAGGAAGATCAATGGGGTATTGGTGCAGGAACAAGACTATCTGCTTCCAGCCACCCAAGGCCTCCCCCCATCCACTGAGATATTTCATACTCCCCTTCCCACCCCTTGGGGTCCCCACAGCTATTTGGGCCTTCTTGGGCCTTTGAAGATCAGCAGAGCTCAGGCCAGGTGGCAGAAAAATGGCTGTCTTCTCAGACGCCGATGAAACTGTTTTCTTTGGATCATATACACGCTTCCGTGCTCTTTGGAAAAACTTTTTTGCATGGAAGGTGTAGGCCTCCAGGGACGCCAGATCTATTGCACCACTGCAGGCTTGTCTACTTTGGAAAAGGATTAAAAAGCCTTTCTTTTTAATTAATTAAAATAATTAAATTAGTTAATTTAAATTAGTTAATATCTTCTAATAAAACTATCAGCTAAGTTAAATTTAAATTTACCGACAAAGAATTAAAGGAAGAATTCTTTGGTCACAGAAGCGACTGTCTGTGAAGGCTTCTAAATTGGGTCTGAAAGGCGGAAGCGGAAGCAGTATGCTCTGTCCCATATTTGGGTAGACCAGATTGCTCTGATTACAAAAAACCCAACACCACATTATCAGCTACTACAAATTGTACTCCACAGGCATCAACAGAACCTTGAATATATACATAAAATTAAATATTCTCAACTAATTACTTGTTTCAAAACAGAATCAGGTTTTAAAATATATTATTTAATTATATCAAATATTTATTACAAAATGATGAAAACAGAAAACGTGCAGAAACAAACTGTTCTTGCTATACTATTGAAAAGCAGTCTTTTCAAGTTTTAGAAAATAGATACCTGGATTCTCTTTTGCTAAAACTTTAATTGTGGTTGTAAAACTAAAAGCCTCTTTGCTGGAGAAAACACTCCTATGATACATTTAAGATTATAGATGTTTTGAATTCTGAGGATACATATTCATTCATTTAAAAATGCATCATTATAAAATACATTAAACATGAATGAAACATGGACTTAAATAGATGACACTTTTTAAAACTATTAAACCACATCTCAAACCACATTCAGTACTGGAAATTTAAACATATAGCCCTGTTGACTGCAAATGATAAAAGTTGTTTAAGATCAGTACATTTTTAATAGATATAATTGAGTAATACAGGTTTCCTATAAATATATTAAAAGCTAAGTAAAACAGATAAAAACACAACACTGAGAAACAATCATCACCCTATTTTCCTGAGCATCCTTTTCTTTCATTCACATATCTTCAAAAGAGATAGAATATTAAAAGAATAGAATTGTGCAACACATTCAAAAATCACATTCTGCCAAGTTAGAGTGCGCTCTGAAAACAACTTTGGAAGCAGCCACATCATCTTGCAGAAAGCATGACTATTTTGAAAGAGATGTACTTCACTCCTGTTCCTGTTACTGCAAATCACCTTCTTCAAATGCTTTGCACAATCCTAACAAGACTTTTCTTACTAATTAAACTCTTACATCATGTACAAGTTTTCATTTTGTAATTCTCCAGCTTTTACAGAATCTTTTATCCATTGCTCCGACACAATTTTAAACTTTTTCTTAAATGTCCTTCTAATGGTTTTTATTTTCTTCAAATCAGAATGATCTCCGCTGATTACATGGGATACACCTTCCTCAAGCTGTGACACTACTTTTGCTCCATGAAAGCGAAGTATCAACTCTACGGTTAAACATCTGGTTTGATTTATCCTGTCTCTTAAATAGCTCATTTCATCAGAAAGGCTCAGGTAAATGGTTTGTTGCCTGAATATGCTTAAGGAACTTTCCCAAGAATAACGGGCTTCTAGGTTAGCAATCACATCCTGAAAAATCTCTTCAGAGGTATTAATTCTTGAGAACACTGCCTTCAACTCTAGTGGATCAGTATCAGCTGTGAAACTATCACCATAAGTATCATATTCACAAGCAAAATGTTGCTTTGTTTCAGGAGACATGTGAATCATAAAAGTAGGCTGCCATGGCACAAATTTTCCAGCCTGGAAACACTGTAAAAGCCATTCTGCTCTCACAACATCATAATTATTGGAAGAAATAATATTTTTCACTCTAACATTCTCAGTCCCTGCTACAACACAATAAGTATCAGGCCCAGGATTTTGAACTATGCTGCCACCATATTCTGCTACTTTGCTTTCCAAAGCATACTTTGAATAATGTTGTGTCCCAGTCATAATACAAAACTCAACATCTTCAAAAACATTAGAAACTTTGTTTATTTTAGAAAGGTCGGGTGCTTTAAAATGATCCATTAAACCGACTGCTTTTTTAATTTTTGCAACTGTTTTACGCTTCTTTTCTTGTGGTTCATCCTCAACTATATCAAGGTGTTTTGTTGCAAGCTTCCCAGCAGCTTTACTTCTGAGTTGTTCTAGAAAGTCAACAGTCATACATTCATACCATTCTTTATCGTCCCTTATTCTTTCAATGCGTGGAAAGCGTAATGTGCATTCTGTTTTATACATATCACTACTCACAATCTCAGCAGCTTTAATCTGGACAATCACTGAATTACAAGGATCAATAAAGACTTGAGGCTTCTCAGCACCACATAAGATATTACAAGGGGGAACCTTCCTATCGTATTTTTTCCAATATGTGGCTAATTTCAAGCCAAGATCATACAATTCTCTCATGGTGCAACCGGAACCAACACGGCAAATGGAATGGAATTTAGATGGTCTTTCACCGGGCAAAGGAGCCTCAGCAACCGCACATAAAAAATGAGATATTATGCCACCACGAAGACCTTTGCCCCAGTAGCCACCAATAATTAAAAGATCCAGTTCGTCCATCAACCCACTGACATATTCTGGCTTGATCTTTAGCCATCCTTCCCCACGCTTATCTGGCTTGTAAATTGATATGGGGTCCTTTATTACAATTCCTTCTTCTCTGTTATCAATGGCTTCATTCAGGGCATCTACTACTTCTTTCTGTGTGTTTGCTTGAATTCTAGAAACAATCTGTATTCGACCAGGTATTGGTATAAAAACTGTATTTAATATATTGCACCTTTTGCTCAGCATTTCATGACCCAACTTTTGATCATTGACCATAAGAACATCAAATACACAGAAGCATGTTTGTAATTCAGAATCATCCACCATCCTTTTGATGTCAAACTTGCTTCCTTTCTGCATAAAAGTCTGGGTGGTAGGATTATAGGCCATCATTTCACCATCCAGAATGCAGTTTTGAATATTTCTAAAGGCCTGATGAATGAAAGGAGTCAATGAACCTTCAAGGGGAGAAGCACCAAACTGCTGAGTATAATCATACCCGTTTCTGGAAAAGTATTTGTAAACATCTCCATCTTTATGCATCTGTATTCGTTCACCATCTAATTTGGTTTCTATATAAAAAATCTGATTATTCATTTGTTTCTCAATTTGGTGCACACTGGCAATAGAAGCAAGCATTGGTTTAAAGGCAGAAAATAATGTAATAGAAGAATCAATAAGTGATACTGAAGGATTATGCAGCTGCCTACAAACCTTTTCCAAATCTGTTGTGACACTGTGCAATTCTGCAGCATCAGAATGGAAAATAGAAAATAAGGTTTTCTGGCTGACACCAAGTTTCAAATCCTTTATGATCATCCTAATCAACCATTTCTGTTCTAGTGCTGAGCTCTGAGTTATTAACTGAAGAAGGCTCTTCTTAACTAGATCCTTCCTTTTGGCAGCATTATTATTAGAAATTGAATCTAGAAGATCATTCACTTGTTGTATGGTCAGTTGACCTTGGTTGATGCATCTTGATTTCAAAACAAAGTAGGCAATCATAGCAAAGTCTCCAACATTTCCTTGTGAGCCAATGGGTGTTCGAAAATTTAAAAGTTTTAAAGCGTCTTTTCCATCTTTGGGTAAATTTAGCAATTCAATATATAGCTTAGCAAGCATTGTTTCTTTAATTCCATAAGCCATCCTCTCTCTTTCCAACTGTGGAAGAATAAGCCTCATTGCAGGATAAAAAGAATCTATCACATCCTTCTCATTTTTATGAAGAGCATCATGAAATTTCCTCCAGGAATCTAGAAAATCCTTGAAATATCTTGTTTTATCTGATCGGGATTTGCACTTCTGTATTTGTTCTAATGTTGAACAGAGATCTGCAAATGGGACTTGTGATGCTACAGTTAGCTTGGAAGATGAATATGAAATGGGGACTGAAGCCATCTTAGATGTTTTTTATCTACAAAAAGAAACAATCAAAGGAATTATAAATTCAGAGCTCTTTTTAGTTTGAACATTTTTATTTACTGTTTTACCATAAATTAATGGTATGCCTCAACATGCATAATGAATGTTAAACTCAAAGCAATAAATTTAGTCTTACTCTCTGGCTCCAGCTATACCAAAGTGATCTATATGTGGTTAGAAACACGTTCTACTGGTTATCAGAATATCATCAGATGACGTACAAGGGTAAAGCCAAATGCCATCTCAGAAACTAAATAAAAGAGTTTTAGGCTGCAGTGTTATATACTCTGTAAGCAAAGAAGCTTCCCATTTTATTTTTACTATATTGTTTCTTTCCATATCCAGTTATTCTAACTTTATAGTCTTAAATTACTTTACCTTTGAAAGTATTTTTGCTACATGAGGATATAGTAGCACTACATGGCAACACATTGAGGAAAACTGAGCAAACACTGATTATAAAGTGTACTAATTGAGGTATAAAGCTACATGTGCCCTCACCAAACCTTTCAGTGATGCTCCCAAAGTCCTTTGTAACTCATCAAATTTTAATGCTTAATGAGATAGAATGGCAACAGGTGATGAAGGGACTACTACAGGCAGCATGCTCTACTTGTATTTTTTTTTTCTTTCTGCATCCAGCATCCTTAGTCTCAAAGGATTAGAGAGACAGTTTGGTGTAGTGGTTAAGGTCCTGACCTAGAAACCAGAAGACTGAATTCTAATCCCGCCTTAGGCATGAAAGTTGGCTGGGTGACTTTGGATCACTCTCTCTCAACACAACCCACCTCACAGGTTTGATATTGTAGGGAAAATCAGAGGAGGGAGTAGCATATTGTATGTTCACCACTTTGAGTTACCTATAAAAGTAATAAAGGCAGGATAAAAATCTAATAAAGAAATAAAAAAAATAGAGCCAATTATCCTGCTATCCTTGAGATGCTGATCCAACAGAATTCTGCTGCACAGAAAGAGAGCAGATGGAGATAGCCAGGCGCATAACCTAGAGCAGGGGTGTCAAACCTGATTACATTGCGGGCCGTATTGTACCGGGACTTGTTTTGCCCTGGCGGGGCCGGGGTGGATGTGGGCTGCATGTTTGACATGCCTTACGTAGAGCAACTAGGTCCACTCTGTGCTAGGCCACCTGCAAGAGAGAATACTAGACCAGTCTTTCCCAATCTCCTACCATGACTGCCCCCTTTGGTGAGACACAGAATGCTGCCCAAACTCAGCACTTACCAGATTGGGAGAATAAACCAACACAATCTGCCAAACCAGATTTGTCTTCTAAGTACTTATTATATTTTGTCCTGCCCTTTTATCTATAACTCAAGGCAGCAAACCTATCTAATACATCTGTTTCCCCACAACTCTGTGAGGTGGACTGAGCTGATAGTGACTGCCTCAAAGTCATCTAGTCATGTTTTATACCCAAGGGCAGGGGTAGGCAACCTTGGCTCTTTTATGACTCGTGGACTTCAACTCCCAGAATTCCTGAGCCAGCATGGCTCAGCATGGCAACCTCTCCCTTTCCCCTCAGCATGGCTGGCTCAGGAATTCTGGGAGTTGAAGTCCACGAGTCATAAAAGAGCCACGGTTGCCTACACCTGCCCAAGGCAGACCTAGAATTAAGTCTTTCCTGGTTTCTAAACCAGAACCTTCATGCTACATCAGGCTTGTTGTCACTCCCACAGTCTGTTAACTGCAGATCAGAGAAACTTCAGCAATTATATTTGGAGGATGAGAAGTGATTAAGTAATCATTAACACATTTCTGATCCACAGAGAAGGCACCCTGAACACATATTTTCCTGTTCCAATTTTAAACTATATTTTAAATCTATGGTAGATACAATATAGTTATATTTTCAACTTTTTTTGGCAGAAGCTGTGCCCTGTCATCTATCTGTTTCATCTTGTATCAAGATAACATTGGGTGACACCCAGAGGCTGCTGTGCGTATGTCCTTACCCCAATCCTTGCCTACTGATCTTCAGGGCCATTTGCCTTATACTAGTAGGCAAACCTGGACTCACTGAATGAGTTTATCAGCCATGTCTCCAACATTTTGTGCCAACTCTGCCAGATCTGGCAACAGACCTCAAGCAGCAAGAGGAATGGCAAGAAAAGTGTGTTTGGGCAGCTGCTCTTTAAGCATCAATTCTCCTACCCAATTCTGTGGGATCAAGAACTTTTGGGGGAAGAGGAGGCATTCTTAACTGTCAGCCCTCCCAGGATAATATTGCCCACTTAGCTATGCCAGATTTTTTTGTTTGTTCAATTTCTATACCTGCCAACTCAACCAAGTGACTCTGAGCAGCTTACAATTCTAAAATTATAAAGCAATTTAAAGATATTAAAATAATAAAAAATATCCACAAAATAAATAAGTATAAACAGCAGCTGTATAATTAATCAACTAATAGTAAAGCCAAGTAAAGGGGGCCCCTTAACACATTCCAAGTCTCAGGTCTGGCTACACAGCCAGGTTTTTAAAGCTTTGCAAAAAGCCAACAGGGTTGGGGCAAGCAAGATGAAGCACAGTACTGCCTAATTAGCAGGGTTGGGTAGGTACAACTTTTGAACCATTTCCAGCACTCCTCCACATTATTACTATACAGGTCATCCTCAGTTTATGCCCATAATTGAGCTTGCAATTATAGGCCTAAGTCATTAACATGGCAGTTAATTGAATGCCGCAGCCATTAAATAAACCCACTGTTTACTATGGAACCTTCTTTGCCAGAAACCAGAAATAAAACCAGTTTTGGCAAAAACATAAATTATGGTTGTGTGACTGCAGGGCAATGCAAACAACAATAAATGCAGGCTGATTATCATGTGACCATGGGAGAGGCAGCCTTTAGAACTCTGAATCTGAAGGGGTCTGTTGTAACTAAGCAACCCAGTTGTAAGTTATGAACTACTTATACATACTCATGCATAAGCCTTGAATTTTAAGTGCCAAAGTACATCCCAAAAAAATGGGTTCAGCTTATTCATAGATGAATGTGTTCACAAGTATATAAGGTTACATTTTAAAGTAAAGTACTGGTGTATATGTTTATATATGTCCATCTGCAGATACTGTAACCAATCCTTGAACTTTTAACTCTTAACCCAAAAATAAACCATCTGCAGAGAAGCCAAATGTGAAAATTAAACTTCAAGGATTGCCTTATTGGTAAGTGGCACATTTTTCATACTATTTTGGTTAAAAATTCTGGTGTTGGCTTATTCACGAGTATATATGTGCCAAAATTTATCCTCACCGGCAGATTACAAGCTACAGGGCTTACTCCACAGGGCGGGCCAGCACTACTGGAGGACAGCAAAGTGGGAGTACCGTAGGTCTCTTGCTTTCAGTTCTCCAATCTCACTGCCTAATTATTTTAAAGGAGCAGTGACCAAAAAAAAAAAGAGAGGTTCTCTTATCAGCCATAGCGAAGGAGGAGGTTGCAGGAGGAAAAATGGGCTGGGATGTTCACCAACACATTTTTACTCCACCCTACGTTCTGCCCCTTCCGCAGCGGAGGAGAGAACTTGAGGTCACCAAAATAGCGAACGAAAATATTCAGGGCGCCTCCTTTTCTTTGCTGTAAGGGAGATCGGAGTTTTTGTTTCTCGCTGGGGGGGGGGAGGGAGAGAGAGAACGGCACCTCCTCATTCCACGGCGAACCGCAGCCTATTAAAGCGCTACTCCTGGAACTTCACAGGAACGGTTCGGAAGTTGCCATAGAAACAGGATCGCTGGCCTGCCCTCGAGCCCGAGAAAGTCCCCTCCGGCCAATTCTGCTGCGTTCACAAACTGGTGCGCAGCACCCTTTTAGTCACTTCAAGAAGATCTGTTCTCGTCACTCGTTGCCCGGAAGCACTTGTGACGTCGATTCGCTTTCCCGGAAGTGACGGCTGAGTGAGTCGAACCCGGTCTAAAAAGAGGAAGGGTAGGATGTAGAGTATCCCGTCCCGGGCAGCGATGAGGTTGGTGTGCTGGGACTCTGTTGGTTCGAGCAGAGGCCTGCGCGTTTAGCTAGGAAGCGGAGTGGCGCCGTCGTCCTCTCTCTTCGAGGGGAGAGGGGGAAGCAGCCGTCTGGGTCTCCTCTAGGTCTATCGAGCACTTCGCCTCCTGGCTCCCTCTCTTCGTGCCGCAGGAGTCGACGCTGTGCGTTTCTCTAGAAAATCCCCGGGTTGGGCGGAAAGGGCTGCCCACATGTAGTTCTCCTCTCGAAAACATTTCCTCGCTGCCTCATACTCAAGGCAGGGGAATTTATGAGATCTTTCGAAAAGGACATTTCACCGCGGCGTTCCGAAATAGGGCTTCCCCCTCATCCCTTAAACGACTCTGTTAGCTGGGGAGGCTGGAATTTATAGTTTTTACTTTCTGGATTGCCCCAGATTGGAAAAGGTTGGCCCTAGTTAACAGTTAATGACGTGATAGTATTTCTGAGATTAGCCTGTTTTACCCTTAGCCTCTGTCCGAATTGCTTCCACGATTGTTTTTAAGCCAAACATACTGTACATTGAAAGATCAGACTGCCGATCTTTTGTAATACATCAGGTTTGGCCAGAGGAGAATCACTGAAAAGGATTGCCATTGTGGTTTCGCCAGTTAAGTGGGTGAAGTGCTGTTCAACTTCTAAAAGTGGATGACAGTGTAGTTCTTCTCAGACAGTCATATTTTCTTATGGCTTACTAAATAGTAAAATAATGTTTATTAAAATATTTAATGCCTTTAGTAGAATCTGTGAACAGTAAGAACATTTCAAAACAAATATAGTAATACAGTAATTGAAATAGTTACTGTTCAAACTTCTTTATTTTCTGTCCTAGCTCCATTACTAAATCCTATGGGAATTCTTTGTTATAAAACAGTACCTGATCTAAAGTTGAAAGGAGATGGCTTATGTAAGAGACATTTTCTTCAAGAAGTTGATCATTAGGTATGAATGCATCAGCTGTCTTTTGTGTTTCTATTAGCATATATTACCATGTAGTTTGTCCAGTCGGTGCCAAATTCTTTACCTGGTTTGTTTATGTACATTACATTAGATTGCTAATAAATATTTTAGCTTATACCCAGAAAATATTTAGATCTGGAAAAATACTGGCTTATTTCAGAAATACAATAGGCTTCCTTTAGAGTACACAAACTAGCATACTGAAGCCTTTGAGATATTCAGTTATATCACAAACGCATTATTAGAGTGAGTTGAAGCGATTTGCATAGTTGAGATACCACTAGTAGATATATAAGGTATAGTTCAGTGGTTCTCAACCTTTTTAATGCTGCAACCCCCAACCGATCGTAAGTCGAGGACTATTCAACCAGTCGTAAGTCAAGGACTATTCAACCAGTCGTAAGTCGAGGACTACTCAACTGGTGCAGCACTGTTTGCAGAATGTGACTTTGGGTGGGCTCAGCAGGGCAGAGACAGCCTGGACAATTCCTATTGGCTTTTGAAAGCCAATAGAATTAGACTCTATTCAAGAGAGTCTATTCTATTGGCTTTCAAAAGCCAATAGAATAAAAGGGAGTAGCACAGCTAAGGAAAAGGGGGAAAAAATGGCGGACTGCGTTGTTTGGCGACCCTCGTGAAATGGTCGTTTGACCCCAAATGGGGTCCCGACTCACAGGTTGAGAACCACTGGTATAGTTCTCCCATGTTTTTGTATGAAATATTGCATGGGGCCAATTTAAACTTTTTTCCATGCTATTATTGTAAAACAGTGTATTGTTCTTCTGTATTATATAGAATATATCTGTAGATATTCCTTCCAAGTATTTGCACTAATGTAAACTTCATACCACCATGATATTAAAAATAATGCTAACAATTAAGACAGTTGTTTTATTTGATTACTTTAAGAACAAATATTTAAGGATTTTATGGTAAAGCAGATTGAAAGGCTACACACAGTATTTCCAAGCAATAGCTTAACATTGTGTGGACAATCTGCAACAAATTTAATTTGAAACCTTAGATTTATGTACTATAACTAACCCTATAGTAGAAGTGACTTTGTAACATTGTTTTATAGAATAGTATGGTCTAGAAACCAATTTTTGTCTTGTAAAACAAGCTGTTCAGCTTCAAAAAATCAGTTTCCAATATGGTTTGTGAATCTGACTTGTTTATTATTATTTAGCCCAAAGCTGAACATTAACTTAAAATTAAATATGTGAGAAAGTAGGAAGGGTATCTTATTCCCATTTATGTTTTTGAGTCTGCCTATCTTCTTTTGAGTTTAATTATCAGGGAACAGTTAAATGATTCTCATGATGCTGCAAGTAACTCACATCAGGCTTAACAGCTGAAAAAAATTAATGAAATCTGCAGAATATTTTGTTTAAAAATCTAGATTCTTTATAACGACTGGTAATCTTTCATCTCTTTGTCACTTATTACTAAGGAACAAATATAGGATAAGCAATACTTTAAATGTATATTTTGCAGGGCTGGATAATCACAAGAATCAACAGTAATGATTATTATTTTAAAAGAGTGAAGAGAAACCAGAACTAAAATAATATTGTAAAATTAATATTACTGTTGCAGATGTTCAGTTCCAAGATTATGACATAGATGGATGATAAATAGATAAAGTAGTCTCAATGAAATCAGGCATTTAAAAGTCTATGACTGCAACTATGGTAGTAGTTTATAATAGTTTGAAATAAGACTGAAATACTGTTACTTTTAATGTGCAAGGTTATCATGCACATAAATTATGTTTCTTGGCAATCCCGATTACCATATTTGTTAGAAATCTGATAAAAGTTTTTTTTAAAAAAACTAAGAATACCAGGTGAGAAGGTAATACTTCTGAGAGGTGGTTTAATTATGCTATGCACAAAACCATCATTATGTTTTTAAGTACCAACCCTGTAGGGGCTGAAGAAAGATATTCCAAATTCATGGGTGCTGATATAATGTTTCTAGATTCCTGAATGATGAGATGTTTGTGATATTTTCCTCAAGTCATTTTTTGGTATGAGAATAGAATATAAATATAAATAGAACCTTGGAGATCTTCTAATCCAGCCCCCTGCTCAAGCAGGAGCACCTACATACCATCTCAGACAGATGATTGTTTAGTCTCTTCTTAAAAATCTCCAGTGATGGAGTGTCCACGATTTCTGAAGACAAGCTGTTCCACTGGTTGATTGTCCTCACTGTCCGGAAGTTTCTCCTTAATTCCAGGTTGCTTCTCTCTTTGGTCAGTTTTCAACCATTGTTTCTTATCCTTCCCTCTGGTACTCTGGTGAACAAAGTGACCCCCTCTTCCTTGTGGCAGTTCCTCAGATACTGGAATACTACTATCATGTCTCCCCTATTTCTTTTTTTCTTTAGACTAGCCCACAGGTCAGCAATCTGTGGCTCTGGAGCCGCATGTGGCTTTTTGAGCCTTCTCCTGCGGCTCCCAGCCTCCTCTGCCATTTTCAGAGAGAGACAGAGACAGAGAGAGGCACTTGCGCTTCTCTTCCCCCCCCCTCTCTGTATAAAAAAAGAGAGTGGCCTTACGCTATTTTCCGACGAGCTGACAAGCATTGGGCAGGGCTCCTGCCTTGGCTGCGTCTCAGCAGGAAGCAGGAAGGGCAGGAGAGCCAGCCTGTTGGGGAACAGCTTGAAGCCAGCTTGCCAGGTGAGTAGAAGACTGGAGAGAGAAAGAGAGAGGGGGGAGAGAAAGAGAAGAGGGAGGGAGAGAGAAAGAGAGAGGGGGAGAGGAAAGAGAAAGAGGGGAGGAAAGAGAGAAAGGAAGAGAAAAGAGAGGGAGAGGAGAGAGAGGGAAAGAGAAGGGAGAGAGGAAAGGGAGAGAAAAAGAAAGAAAAAGAAAGAGGGAGAGGAGAGAGAAAGGGGGAGATGAGAGAAAAAAGGGAGAGGAGAAAGGGGGAGAGAGAAAGGGAGAGAGAAAAAGACGGAGAGAGGGAGCGAGAAAAAAGGGGGAAAGGGAGCGAGAAAAAGGGGGAGAGAGAAAAAGAGAAAGAAAGGGAGCGAAAAAGAGAGGGAGAGAGGGAGAGAGAAAAAGGAGAGGGAGAGGAGGGAGAGAGAGAGAGAGAGAAAGAAAGGGGGAGAGGAAACAGAGAAGGAGAGAGAGAAAGAGAGGGAGAGAGAGAACTCATGCACAGCAGTCTCTATTTCTTTTTAATTAAACTCTTCAATCAAATTCCCCTCCCTCGCACATGCATGTGCTGGCATGTTTTGGCTCCCAGTGTTTTCTTTTCTCTGGGAAACGGGGTCCAAGTGGCTCTTTGAGTGTTTAAGGTTGCAGACCCCTGGACTAGCCAAACCCAAGTTCCGTAGCTGTTCTTCGTATGTTTTAGTCTCCAGGCCTTTAATTATCTTAGTTGCTCTTCTCTGATTTTTTTCCAAGGTCTCAACATTTTTTTTTTTTGTGAGATGGTGACTAAAATTGGCTGCAGTATTCCAGGTGTGGTCTTACTAGGGTTTTATAAAGCGGTACTAATACTTCGTGTAAGCTTGATTCTATGCCTCTGTTTATACAACCCAGGATTGTATTAGCTTTTTTGGTTGCTGCTGCACACTGCTGGCTCATAGTCAAGTGATCGTCTACTAGGACTCCAAGGTCCCTCTCACAATTACTGTTTTTAAGCCAGGTCTCGCCCAATCTGTCCTTGTACCTTTGATTTTTCCTGCCTAAATGTAAAACTTTTGCTTTTCTTCACATTGAAACTCATTTTGTTGATAGGGCCCATTTTTCAAGTTTGTCTAGATCTTTTTGGATCCTGAGTTTGTCTTCTGGGGTGTTGGCTACTTCTGTAGTTTGGTGTCATCCGCAAATTTGATGAGTTCCTCTTCAGTTCCCTCATCTAAGTC